GTCCTTTTTTTGGAAAACTAAAATATGGTCACCCTATTATAAATATACTTAATTATTATGAAAATACCAGAGATGGCTTGAATAACACAGATAAACTATACATTGTCACAGTCGAGTGTTTATTGTGTTTGTTTTATCATTCAAAACGTTTATATCTTCGGTTTACTCCGTTACAGCGACAGCATTGCCTGTCCATATTAGGGATTTCCTGAGTTCTATTCCTTCTGTGATGCATATGTGGAGTTTCGGCGCGAGGGCGCCCTCTGGCATCCAGTATGAACGAAACAGACATTAAATGTTTATAGCGCTCAATAATGGCCAATCCATCCTATTTTGGGTTATTTTATTTTATTTTTTCAAGTATCGGTTCAGGCACCGTTTAGGCGCCGGCACCGTTTTAAAAGTATCGATTTAGCACCGGTATCGGAAAAAAACCAAACAATACCCAACCCTAAGGATGATACTATAATGATGACTATAATGTTTTAATCGTTCTAGTTCTATGAGAATATCGAAGTCCACACCACAACTATAAAGGCTGATTTATATTTCTGCGTCGGACATATGCTGTAGCCTCTACGCCGTATGCTGTGCGTCGGTTTTCATTTATACTTCTGCGTCGTTGTCCGTGTCGACGTGCAGTACACATGTAAACCGCTAGTCTGAAGTGTCCACGGCCATGTTGCTTGTGTAACCTGCAGTACCACGGCAAAAGCCGAAGAAGCAGCAGCTTGTCGGAGAAGCATCAGCCGTGACGGCGGCAAATAAATATCAAAGAACAGATAATTTATTTAAAACTACAAAAAAGAGACGACAACAGAACAGGAGAAGATTGTATTCTTTTAATCTCCACAAGGACTTGTACCATAAGGAAGAACAACATTGTTTGTCGCGGACAACAAAGTGATGTATAATTATTAGGGATGTAACGATTCACTCAACTCACGATTCAATTCGATTCACGATTTTGATTTCACGATTCGATTCGATTCACGGTTTTTTATTTTTTATTTTTTTTACAAAATGAGGTTTAAGACAAATTATAAATTAAATGTGTCCTGCAACGGTCAGTAAACAAATACATGTAAAGAAACAGAATCATTAAGGCTTGGCCAGTTCGCAAGGCAAAAGAAAAAACACTTACCAGTTATGAAAGTTTATGAACATCAGGTGCAGCGGTCACATAAATTCTGCCGAGTTTTTGGCAGAAAAATGATGGTCATTTTCGTCAGTTAAGGCTCGTTAGCATTCGGTCTGCTTTAAATCAGACACAGAGATGCAGTGCGGTAAGATCGCATTTATTTGAATTAATTAATTATATAATTTATTTGAATTAGTGCGCGAGCAAGAGAGAGAGAGAGAGAGATGAAAGTTGCGTGTGTGAACCTGCATCTGCGCGCCTCTCTCTACAAGCAATGAGGCTTAGTTACTTCAAAAACAGCGATTTACCCCCTCATTGCAGAGAAATATAACGTTGCGAGTCAGTAGCCTGTCGAAGCTATTTTACTAATAAAAGTTTCCATGCTGTGTTGTCGTGTGCACTAATGTGTGTGTGCGTCTATGAAAGCAGCGTAGCCTGCATATAGTTTGTTTAGCTATAAACCCGAGCCCAACCCGAAGCTATTCATTAAACATTAATCCGAACCCGACCCGAAACCCGAAAGTATTTCTGGACCCGTCGGGCTCGGGTCGGGTAGCAGACCTCTATCCGTGATCCGTACGGATCAGGCTGCACGGTTCGGCACGCATGTGATTCGCGAATTAACTTAAGTTTAACCATCATAGAGTGAAAGTTTATCACACACACATGTTTTGTCTTGCCAGTTTACACATTCAAGCAATTTTAACTCGCGTGCTGTTTTCTGTGCGCTCAGCCGCTGCCGTGCACACGCGGAGAGAGAGACACCGTGTGAACAGCGAATTGATTCCTCTTTCACATACACACAAAGTTATATTAAAATATCCGTTTTGGCAAAAGTATTCTAGTAAACACAGTCTGTTATGTCTTAAAGGCACAATTTGTACGATTTTTTTATTAAAATATCCAAAAACCACTAGAACAGTGTTATATATTTTGCTGACTTGTGTACTTATATTATCCCAAATGTTTCGAAGAATGTTTAAATCCAGAGAATTGTTACTAGTGACACGGACCGTGTCCATAGTGTCATTGTGTCGCCTGCCAATGACGTCATAACCCCTCGATTTCCGGTTTTGTTTTGTAGAAAACATGGAAACACCAAAGACGCTTTAATATGTTGTGCGTTTTAATAGACTGGTGACGACCGCATAGAGTAGCATTATAACAGAACTTTCAAATGTATCTAGTATGATAAAACAGCGCTGCTTTTTCCCCCCACATACACACGACTGGAACGAGTGGAAGCGGTCGACTGTGGCATAATAAGAGTTCTGCTGCTTTCGAGCCGTGTGTCATGCATGTTCAGCGGCCTCGTTTCGCTTCGATGGCTTTCAGCCTCACCCTGCTTCATTCTACTGTTAATAAATCATTAGATCATCCATGAACATGATTTCTGCCCGAGTCCCGTTGGATTGTTTCGGCTGTGAGGATAAAGACGACAACTCCCATGATTCCACACGCAGTCACTGCGTCATCAAACTATGCCTTTGTCTATTTGTTTATTTTGAATACGCGCCATCTAGCGGCGAAAATGACATATTGTGCCTTTAAGTGAACGTAAACAGCTGAGAAAGAAACCGAATGTGTGTCAGTATTAGGTCCGTGCATTTGGTCTTAAAGAGACAGCAGCCAGTAAATACCTGTTTCTGTCTGCTAATTAAACACCACAGCTCTAACAAAGATGAATCTGTATTTAACTTGTGCAGTGAGCACTATTGTGTTATTTTACACTCATTACATTTCTGCACCTGATTGCTACTGTTACTGACTTTATTTGTAACTGTGTTTTGTTGTATTCATCTATGCTTGTAATTTGTGTAATTGTTTTATTACTAACTTTATTAGTTAAGCTAGTAGTTTTTGCTGTGGTATAGAAGTACTTAAGCTTTCACTAATTTATTATTTTTTTTTTTTGCTGATCCGAAAAATGATCCGATCTGTGACTCACAATCCGTAATATGATCCGAACCGTGGGTTTTTTGATCCGTTGCACCACTAGTACCTATGCCTGTGTATGTTGGTGCATGGAACGGTTCCCTTTGCCCTCTCAGGGTCAGCGGTGAGTGTCTGGGCTATTTAGGGTCAGCGGTACTGAGGCGATTTACCCTCCTCCACACAGACGAGAGCGAGGTATCTAATTACAGGGTGGAGGAGGGGGGCTGGGTCGTGTGTAATCCCTGTCTACCCCTTCTTTACCATCATGGGAAAGACACGGCTGAGTTTGGCCTTTTCTGGGGTGTGGGGGGCCCAGGCTTCAACCTAAAGAACTGCTTACATATGTGACGAGAGATTCTACTTGTATGTTGTTGTATTATGGAATTGTTATTGGAAAAGTTGGAATTATTTAATGTACTCTATAATACATACAAACTTTTGAATGGTTAAAAGATGGAATTTGGTTTGGAATTTATGCTATTTTCTGACCAGACTTTGTGTTTCTCTGTTTCAGAGTGCGGCAGCAGCTCCCAGTCCTGTGATGGGCAACATGCCGCCCAACGACGGCATGACAGGTGGACCCATGCCTCCCGGCTTCTTTCAAGTAAGGGCTGCTCTCTCCTCCCCCATCTTCCCGTTCAACCTCCTCCTTTAACCCTGTGCATTAAGCTTTTACCATTTCTCTGTCCCTCACCCCACCCCTGCTTTCGCTAACCCCCTTTAGTTCTTCTAATCCCCGTCCAGATGTTTCTTTCCCACTACCTCTCCCTCTACGTATTTCCATTCATTTCCATTTTGCATGTCTAAATTAGTAGTTCAGTACAGTAGCAACTCACACTGACACAAACAGAGAGTCGTGGCCCCTGATCTGAGATCAGTGTGAATGCCTCGACAGTTTAATCCCTAAGGCCAAAATGGGTAAAAACATGCGTGCTTGGTTGTAGCTCTTTGGCAACACATATCTAACAACATATCTGTGTATTTTAAATTCAGGGCTGGGATTTGGGGGAATGCTTAGGGGTATAGTTCCTAAAGTCAAGGCTCCTGTGGGAGTTCCTCTGCCATAGTGATCTTTATTGAGCTATTTATAGTCAGACAAAAGCTAGTCACCTTCCTAAAGAAACACACACTACCTTAGAAAGACAAATTCTTTTAGCCAAACATTATTTTTTATCATAACCCAACTTGTGTAGGGCAATTAATCAAGCTATTATACCAATTAATTTCAGTTTTTAGTGCAAGTCATATGCAAATTACATCTCTATATTCTATATTTATTTAAGATACATTAGATAAAAAAAAAAAAAAATCTTGATACAGTGGATTTACTGTTGAACATCTTGTCGAACATCAGATAAAGCTTCCAGTCGAATAGATAGAAGATAGAGCAGCAGATAAAGGATCTAATAGCGTCAATAAAAGATAAGATATGACATGTGAGATGCATGAGGCGATGCAGTGAACATTTAGTAAAACTTCAGAAGGTATAGAGTAGATAAAAGATCACATAGAGTGGCCGATAGAGCATCCCATAGAGTGTATGTATAACATAAGATTCATTAGATAGAAAAACTGATACAGTATATTAGGGCTGTGCGATGAATCGAAATCGAATCGAAATCGCGATTTGAGATTTTGCGATTTCCTAATCGCAAAGCCTGCGATATGGACGCGATATTACTCTGTTCCAGAGCATATGCATGACTGCCAGCCTTGAGTTGCAGTCTTACTAACCAATAGAGTGAGCGCACCTCCGTTCTCCCCAATCAGCACTGCACTAGCCAACTGCGTAAACATCAACCATTTAAAGGGGTCATATGATGCGATTTCAAGTTTTCCTTTCGCTTTGGAGTGTAAAAAAAAAACAATAGAACCCCTCCCAAAACACAATAAAAATTTTTTATGGATTTCAGGGTTATAATGGGAATTTGTTTGGTTTTAATGTAAACTATAATGGTGTCTATTTGATGGATTCTATTGGTGGGATGTAATCTGGCAGATGGCGACCAATAGTAAAAGTAACAACAGTAATTCCTATTGGAATAATGCCCAAAACAAAAAGGAATTTTGTAATGGTTTAATGGAAACTATAAGAATGTCTGTGATAGTTTCTATTGTTTTTTTCAGCAGGGTAATGATACCCTTACTGTGCTGCACATTATTGGCAATATTGAGCAGAAGCTTGACTTTGTAAATTTAAAATCGCAAATCAAATCGCAATCGCAATATCTGTCAAAAAAATCACAATTTGATATTTTACCCCAAATCGCACAGCCCTACAGTATATTTAAAATCTTGTCAGACATCAGGTAGATTAGATGGAACATAGAACATCTTCCATTAGATTGAACATCTAGAGTAGATCAGAGCACCTGATAGAGCAGCAGATAGAGGATCCAGTGGAGTCAATGAGATATCTTGACAGAGATGAATAGCAATAGGTTAGACAGAGCATCCAAAAGAGTAGTTAGAGTGGCAAACAGAGAATCCTATAATCTATATGTAACAAGATTTGTTAGATAGAAAATCTGATACAGTGTGGAACATCTGATAAAGCACCTGCTAGACCCGCAGATAAGATGGTCCAATGGAGTCAATGAGACCAGAAGATCCAGTGAAACAAATTGAACATTAGGTAGGCTAGAGCATCCAATAGAGTAGATGGAGTGATCAGATAGAGCATCCTATCATTAAGTACAACATCAGATAGGGTTGCAGAGAGAATAATGCTTTCAGAATGTTGGAGATTGTCAGGTAGAATAGCTGATAGAGCATCCTATAAAGCAGCAGATGCTGAGATGAGCATCAGGTAGAGCGTCACATGGATTGGCAGATAGAACCCTGACATGGTCTTTGAGTTGAGGAGAGTGTTAATGTTGTATGAGCTGTGTTCAGAGCAGGGAGCGATCTGACTGTTGCGTGAGTGACATTGCATTCTATAAATAGTGCCTGTGTGCATAAGAGCGAGAGAGAAAGAGAGAGAAAACTAAGAAAGGGAGGAAGAGGGGAGGACTTTGTGCTCCATGCGACCAGTGGCTGTGGTCTGGTGACACCAATTATATGTTGGCATATATCCTAGTGGCCAGTATATCACTTTCACACCTCTCAAGAGCTAACTACTGCTCCCTCCCACTCGCATCGGCCATGACTGCTGGACACAGTTGTGCTAATAATTGGAGCTGCTCTTCTTGTAGCTGTTTTTAATAGAATTGTGGTTGGAACAGGTTGTGATTAGGGATGCACCGATACCACTTTTTCCAGTACTCGCCCGATACCGATACTTCTGCTGTCTGTTGTTCTGTTGTCGGTGTCTCATTGTCTGAATATGGCACTGATCACATGCTGTGTGGTATCGGCGTTTGGTATAGGGGCATTTTAACGAGTATGAGTACGAGTACAGGAGCTCAGTATCGGGCCCGATACCGATACCAGTATCGGTATCGGTGCATCCCTAGTTGTGATCCATGCTGATTTCGCAATCAGAATCCTAACTTTGTTGTTTCGAAAGGTGGACATTTGTGCTTCGTCGCCTCCTTTGCGTGTCTTTTGGTTTGTTGTTCATCTTTTATTTCTCTAATGATTTCTTTATTGGTCATGAGTGCACGTCTGTCTCAGAAAAATTTGTGCACCAATGTTTTTGCACCAAACCAATGTAGTCTGATTGTTATGAACCATTTATTTTTGATTCAGTCAAGAAGTCTCACAACATTTGACTAACTTGCAGAACGGCATGTTGTCCAGTCATGTCCAACAAAAATGGGGACAAAAACAAATCTGTAAGAAATAATGGTACTCCAGTAAGCAGTTCGCTGTTGCAGTTGATTTGAAAAAGCATTTTGGTAGTGGAGCTATATAGCCAAAACATGCGCGCCTGAGCCTCTGTTTGTGTCTCCTGTACAGCTCCAGATGCAGCGGCGATAATTAACACATGCGACCGCAGTAGTTGCCGTGTGATCTGCGTGGTCCTGTGCGACAGGGACGAAGGTGAAGAGGTTAAACCCTCCTGTACACCTTCTCTCTAGACGCTCCTAATCTGTACATCGCAGACCCAGACTCCCGGCAATCTCCTGCAGAGAGACGGAGAGCGAAGGAAGAGAGTTTAAGGAGAGAAACACAAAGCTTGCGTGCTGGTGTCTGGCCCGGATCTTGGAAATTTTGTATGATTTCTTCTTCCTTTTTTTTTTTTTATTCCCCCCATTGCATGGGTCGGCCTCTTCAATAATCTTCACGTCGAAACTCCACTGCACCAGCTCCTCTTGGGAGGACAGACTAGCAAGGGGGAGGCAGGGAGGGAGCGAAGTCAAGGAGTGAAAAAAAGAGAAAGTTTCAAGTTTAGCTGGAAACATCTGAAATGGATGGGTTTGTTTTTGAGGGAAGAAGGTGGGAGAATTTCATCAGCCCTTCTCCCACAAAAACCTCTCGAAAACCAACAGAACACTGAGAGAAGTGAAAGACTGACAGACTCTAGAGAGGGAGAGAGTTCCATCAAGGTTAAAAGGACTGGAGGATCTTGTTCAGACTTGCTGCGAGGTGCAGGAGTCTTGGGACATTGAAATAGTCCAGCACCGTACAGCGTTGTAGTCCTGTTGACATAGAAATGTCCCAACACTCAAGCAAATCTCAGTTTACTTTCGTGTTTTCTTTCTTCCTATGTTGCAGCCTTACGGATGGTTTTGATTGAGTTAATTTTCAGTTACTTCCGAGGTCAAAGTACCTCTCTCGTGCAGACAGGTTTACGAGATTTTGACATTTTTGACAGCTAGAGGTGTCTTTGTCAAAATTTAGATCCCATTTGGTATGCCATCGTCACGATTTGTGACTGATTTCCTGACAGTTGTGCTTTTTGCACAGAAATCGAAATAATTAATTGATCGCATCATTTGGGGTGACTTTAAAGTCAAAGTACCTCTCTGGTGCGTATACGTTTGCGAGATTTCTTAACGTTTTTGACAACCAGAGGTTCTTGATTATGTTTAGATCCTGTATGTTACGACACATTGCATTTATCGTCTCTGTTTGTGACTGATTCTGTGACAGCTGCACTTATCAGAATAATTACTTCCTAGACGAGTGAAAACCATCCTTCTGAAGCAGCACACCCTCAAAAACATGAATTGCACAATCCCGTGCCGTTTGCCAAAGAAGTGGTAGTAATTTTTTTCGGAATGTACACAGAGACAACAATGAAATATGCATTGTTGCTGTTCCATGCTTTGTTTTGCTTGGTACTTTGTGTCCCGGCAGTCACAAGGCAAGTAGCTACACATTGCCCCCTTTCGGTCAGGAAGCGGCATTGCTTCCCCGAAACACTTGGACTTGTGGTTGCTGCTGTCCTCTATGCCACTGTCCCGCTAGGAATACTGTGCTGTTCCCTTTCTCGGCGGGAGGGGCTACTCTTGATGGGCTTGTAGTTCGGTGTCAAGCCGATATCTCCTTAGCTGGGTAGAAAATGATTTTATTAATTGCTTCATTTAACAAACGAAGACCTAAGACACACGCACACAATCCAGCCCAAGTTGTTCCTCAGTCACTCTCTACAGGGATGTGGTGCAGGAACAGGCATCTCGGTATAGGCCATATGCCTATCCCACTTACCCATAATGGACTCCATTGAGAGGCAAGGAGGAGGCCTTGTGGTTGAGCTCCGTTATGGGGTTCAGCAGCTGCCCAGCCCTGTAGGAGATGTCCTTTGCTGGGGAATAAAGGGTAGATTTATTACCAACCTGGATTGTTTTTAGAGACCATTAAAATCATCAGCTTTTTCTTAACCTATCTTTACCAGTGAGACTTTGTTGGTCAACCAACTTCAGCAAAGACCAATTTAATGGCATGTCTATAGGTTTTCAAATGTAATGTCTCTTAATTTTTCTCTTTCTCAGGGCCCACCCGGATCACAACCATCACCACACTCGCAGCCCCCTCCACACAACCCCAACAACCCCATGATGGGGCCACATGGCCAGGTAAGACCCTTGTCCCCTATTTTCTTGTACTTCCTCACACATAACCTGTGGAATAGACACATTTGGAGCAGCTTTCCATTCACCCTTTCCGTCTTCACATCTTCATTCTTCTTTTATTTCTTTCATTCATTCCCAAAATGGACCACTGTTATTTCTGGAAAAAGTCTGCTTCTTGAGCTTGGTTTTGTCTCATTTCTTCACTAGTTAGATCTAGTAGTGTGCAAAGCTTCAGACTTCAGAAAAAAATCAACTAGTCGGTGAGTTTCCTAAATGACTAGTCGACTAACCTGACTTAACTGGAACCCTTTATTTACATTTTACACATTTGGCGGATGCTTGTATCCAATGCAAACTACATTGCATTCAAGGTATACATTTTATCAGTTAATGGGAATCGAACCTATAAACTACATTTACTTCCATAATTAGAATAATTATATAATAATTATTGCTGTAATCATGATTAGGTTAGATTATTTTAAGACAAGAATAGAATAGTATAAACAACTTGCATTACATTCAAGGTATACATTTTATCAGTTAATGGGAATCGAACCTATAAACTACATTTACTTCCATAATTATAATAATTATTGATATATTATTGATATAATTATCATTAGATTAGATTAGACTGTTTTAATACAAGAATAAAATATTCAAAGCGACTTTCATTGCATTCGAGGTTTACAGTTGATCAGTTTATAAATTCCCAGGGAATGAAACCCATGATTTTGGCATTGCTCGACTCTACAATTTGAGCTATAGGGATTATTAAATTATTAAATCTAATTAAAGTATATGACAAATACGTATATAATTTGAATACTTTATAAAATATAAGAAAAAAATAAAAATATAAGAAAAATCTAATCTAGTCAGTTTTACTAAGTCAATTGTCGGACAACTATCCTGACCCTTTAGATAGAGCTCAAAGCAGTACATTACTTCATTCTGTGTTCTCTCTGAAAGCACACACAAACACGAACACGCATATTCCTCGCTGACAGTGACGATGTTGCCAAATAAATAATGCAGGCTGCGGCCCAGCCCGTAAGGAGTGGAAGTTCATCTAGCTGGAACTCTGCAGACCTGGTCCATCCCTACACCCTGCACTCAGTCCTTCATAGTCCATCAATATCCTATTAATAATGCAACACGCACGAACACACAAACATGCTCTTGCGTTTACACATGCAAGCATAAACACAGGCACTCTTAACACAAATAAGCAAACACCACACATCCTTCCAAATACACAAACTTGCTGAAAACTTGGAGCAAACGTAGGTAGACCGAGCTGGAAATTAGGTCAATCCTAAAGGTTGTTGGATCAAACCCTAAAAAAATGACTTACTACTCTGTGATGTAATAAAGCTTTGAGCGATAGATAATTTTGTCGTTTGATTTGTTTGTATTCTGGTGGTGTTGCACTGGATGACCTCAACCACAGAGCAATCGCTGGTTAAAAATCCAGTGCCTCGTAACTATACATGAAACCGCAAATGTGTTCTTATTTTGCCGTGGTTATGTGGCGTTGGGCAGTGTTTGTGCTTTCAGTGTGGATAGACAAATTACTTGTTGCTGTAGCTTGTCGCTTTCCAGATGGTTACGATGATGTCGGTATCTTTTTGTTTGTGTCGCTTATTGCTCTCCTGTCCACCCTCTTTCTATTTTAGTTCTCACTGTAAAGTCTTGTTTAAAATACCATATATTTTATCTTTTAAACAATCTGATAGCAGCAGGCTGACCATGTCAGTGTAAAGAGAACCGATGTTTGAGTTTTTCCTCTTTAAGCTCAAGCAGACGCCTTTTTTGTAATGTGATTGCGCCCCCTGCTGGTTACTATTGTATTGCGCATCTCAAATACTAAATATTTTATAAACATTTCTTTTAGTTTCAGTTATAAATCCATACAATTTTATGTTTATACTGTGAATCACTTTTTGGACAATTAAATTGAATCATCAGAGGTATAGAGCATATGATGTTAAAGTAGTACTGTTCTGCTAATGACAGGTTAGCAATGGCGTCTTTTGATTGACAGCTCCTATGCTCTCTCCCCATAGCCTTTCATGTCTCCACGGTACCCAGGTGGACCTCGCCCATCACTCCGCATGCCAAATCAGGTACTGACCCACCCACAACCCTTCATTCCTGCAGTTTTCTATTTCCGTTTTCTCTGCTTTGGCTCTTATTTCATGCACTTTTTCTTGGTTTCAGCCTCCCGTTGGAGTCCCAGGGTCACAGCCACTCCTGCCAAACAGTTTGGACCCCACCAGACCGCAAGGTACCGCACTGCGCCATGGAGTTTTACAACCAGCTGTGTTTAGGGAAATTTGCTATGGAAGAACTCCAATCGCTCAGGCATTTGTAAAATATTGTGCTTCATCTCCCCCATCAGGGCATCCAAACATGGGCGGCCCGATGAGAATGAACCCACCTAGAGGAATGGGAGGCATGGGCCCACAGGTTGGCTGACATTGCTGTCAATCAAACAGTTGTGCTTAGATTGGGAACACTGTACATTATCATAGAAAACCTGGAAATATCAGAGAAATGTAAATAGAAATAAAATTAGTTTACATCAATGAATAAATGAATAAATACATTCAATCCATATATACATACATATATATCCATGGAAAATAAATATGTATAGAAAATGTATTTATTTATTTATTATAAGTGTATTTAAAGTATAATTAAGTTATTATTATTATTATTATTATTATGTCATCTAATTAAAAATAAATCTAATGAAAAAAAAACATGAAAATTTTGATAGAAAATATTTTAGTTTATTATTTATTGTGCATTAATATACAATGTATTTGGAAATGAGATATTCTTACATATTCCTACAATATACCTACATTAATTAATTAACAAGCAAGCAAGAAAGGTGTAGAGATTTCTTTATTTTATATATCTATATCTATCTATATATCTACAGTAGTCAACATTTGAAGTGGATCAAAAAAAGTTAATCAAATTTGCCCTAAGACGAGAACATCTTTTAAGTGTGACAAATATGCAAAAAATAAAAAAAACAGGAAGGGGGCAAAAACCTTTTCACGGCACTGTATATATATAGTATGATATTTAATTGATTAAAAAAATGTGGCAACCCTGCCTATAGTTATTATAACTATTATATAACATACATTATAACTATAATATATTATAATAGTATTATAAAACAATTTATTGTAGATGAGGTACTGAATTAACATTTACCAGATTAAATAAAAGCAAGTCATATGTACCTTCTTGTTACAGTGCCATAACATCTTTCATATGTATGTTAACTTTTGCCATCTCTGCATTTGTAGAACTACGGCGGTGGAATGAGGCCCCCTCCAAACTCTCTCGGTGGTCCTGGAATGCCTGGCATGAACATGTGAGTCTCCACCGCGGTATAACAAACTCATGCTGTCTATGCCACGCTTATATTCACACACTAACATTTCTTCTTGTGTTTTTAGGGGTCCAGGAGGTCGAGGGCCTTGGCCTAACCCTAACGCAAACTCAGTGAGTGCCACTTCCAATCATTTCAATATCGCAATGACTGAGAGAAACGGCTTCATAATATCTCTTCTTCCCACAGATAGTATACTCGTCTTCATCACCAGGAAACTATGTGGTGAGTTGCACGCACAAGATTTTGTCTCACCCTCTCTCTGTTTGTCCGAGATGTTCTTTGTGAGTAATCATTTTCCGTGCTCATCTCGTAGGGGCCTCCAGGAGGTGGCGGCCCTCCAGGAACTCCCATCATGCCAAGCCCAGGAGGTCAGTATGCTTGAATCTAATCTATCTGAATTTCATATCAGCCTTCTTTTATTGAAAGCTCATAACAATAGTTGAGAAATTACCTCAGTGACTGGAAATTAGCTTAAAACGTAAAGCTCTTGTTTTGGGAAATGTTATTTGAAAACATCAGATTGTGGAGAAGTGTCATCTGTTTTCTCACAGACTCAACGAATTCCAGTGAAAATATTTACACAATGATGAATCCAATCGGCCCTGGTGGCAACAGACCGAGTGTACGTTGACCGTTCTTATGCAGTATGGAAAATGGTTTAGTCCTTTGTTAGCATTATTGATGGTTTTCTGGATGGATGTTAATAGTATGTGTTTCTACAGTTCCCAATGGGGCCGGGGCCTGACGGTCCGATGGGTGGAATGGGATCGATGGAGCCGCACCATATGAACGGGTCTTTAGGTGAGACTTCGTCATACAAATAGCTAATACGTAGAAAATAACAAATGTTTTGATGTTTCGAATGGCTCTCAAACTTATCTGCTTTTGATCACAGGCTCGGGTGATATGGATGGGTTGCCAAAGGTGAGAACTTAATGCCTAGATATATGTGAATCTGTTTTATTTTAGTGTCATTTATCTATTATTATAGTTTGTTTTATATATTTTGAATTAACTTGTATTTGTAATTTAAATTTTAGGATCTTTTTTAATCTTAGGCATTTTTTCACACACACACACACACACACACACACACACACACATATATATATATATAT